GCTAAACTAAGTAACTCAGCAGTTCTACATCTTGGGGTGTACAGGACATGCCCTAATAGGACCTTGTTCACTGTGTCAGACTGAGAAGTTTAGAAGTTTAATTAAGTGATTCAGCAGGGTCCAGAGCCCTCACTTAGTAAACATCCTGAGCCTGTGCAAGAGGAGGGCCCGGAGATGGTGTGAGTGCTACACCCGCATGGCGGCAGGTAGCCTGCATACAATATAAGGGAGGAAAAGAGGTTTGCTCTCCCCTCCCTTTTTAGCTCTTGCTGCTCTTGCCATCTTCTGCCATCTTGAACTGTTGTCCCTGTGCCATATCACAGTGCTTTGGAGCCAGCTGATTATGGACCGAAACCTCCACAATCTGAATTAAATAAAGCCTTCCTTCCTTAACTTTGGGTTTCAGGTATTTTGTTTCAGCCACAAGAGAAAAGTAACAAAGACAATCTCCAAGGCCTGCTTTTGGAGAAAGAAAGTTTTATAAAGAAGTTAGGAAGGTATTAGCTAAAGGGTATTGGCTTTGCTTCTCTTGATTATGGCTTGGCCTGGCTATCTGTGCTCATGGATGCCACCCGGTACACCACATAGCCTCTAAGAGGAGATATCTCCATGCTCAGACACAGCCATTCGAGGGAGATACGTGTAAAGATAATTCTCCTCGTATGAAACATTAAAGGTATTATTCATTGCCTATAGACATCTAAAATCTTGAGTTACATAGTCTCCAAGGTAATAGAACCAGAAACTTTTAAGCTCCTGAAACATAACATTTTTTATTTTCCAAATTTTATAATGACATTTTCAAACATCCAAATTGAAACTGTAGCACAACAAACCCCTCCATGCTCACCATCAAATTCAGCAAGCATTAACATTTTGCTATAGTGTTTTCTCTATCTTTATCGTGTTTTAATGCTTAAACATTTCATTGACAAAACCTGGCGAAAGCTTATTCAGATCCTGTGAATGACTATTTCTCCTCACTCCTTCCCCATCAGACTTTGTGGGGCTCAGAGGGAAAGTGGGGTAGGAGGTGAGAACCTTAGCTTCTGCTTTGAGCTCACAAGACATTGATCTCAAAGGCCTCATCCTGCCCCGGTTTCTTGGTCACTACCATGATATTTAAAGCATTTCTTATCCCAGCCTTCCACATCCAGGTATGAATGGCTGCTCTTCAATTTGCACTACTCTGACTGATGAGCTTTTTCACTACTGAGTTCTTTCCAATGACCAGGCCTGTGTGCTAGGAACCCGAACAAGAAAAGTCATCTTTTAGTAAACTGGAGCTGATGTGAACCACAAGGCTTAAGGCTGCATCCTCCATGACAGTCTCTCACCTGCCTTACTTTATCACTGAAGAATAAAGTCTGTATCTGTGGATCTGAGATCTATTTCCACCTAGTCTTCTTTATCTTCTTTCTTTCTAGGGTCTCTTAAGTGAGTTCTACTATTTTTTATTCCCACCTTTCAAGCATGTAAAGAACAATATGGGATGGTTAAGAATAACATCTCTACATTCAGGCAGCTAAGATCTCCTGAATATGGATAGTGCCAACCACTTAGAGACTGTATTTTTTCTTCTTATACAAACATACCTATGATAAAGCTTTATTAATAAGTTAAGGTAGAGTAAGAGATTAATGACATCAAATAGAAAAATTGCAACAACATACTGTAATTAAGGTTATGTAGTCTTTCTGAAAATATTATACTGTATTCACCTTCTGATGATGATGTAACATGACAGAAGCCTACATATGAGATGAAAGGAGGTGGGTCACATAGGCATTATGACATCACATTACACTATTACTGACCCTCTGATGATGCATCAGGAGGACCATCTGCCTTGGGTTCTTCTAGATCAATCATCAGGCTATGATGATATCAATGGATGGATGTTAGGTGGAGACAGTGGTTTGTGATCCATGATAGCTGAATTTTTTTGTGAAACACTTTTGGAAAAGACGTCATAAAAGTTGATGTCTCTGTCTTCCCTTTGTTCCATAGAGGACTCAACAAGTTCTTCCAATTCCTTATTTACTAACATCTTTTGATGACCTGAAAATGTCATTTCATGTCTTCACCTAGCATGTTCAAAACTATTTCTTGACTAATTTGCCTTCGTTGTGAATGATTTTCCTAACTTCTCAATCAGTCCCTCAGAAGCCTTTAAACTAATCTATGATTTCATTCCCTAAATTATTCCAGAAGGCCTTTATAGTTTCTGGTTTTAATTCATCAATTGAAGCTTTGATGAATATTATATTGTTAAGCATAGTTAATTATTTCCATTACCACATTATGTCCAGATGAAAGTCTGCATTTGCTGCTGAGTAAATGCATTTAGCCATCAGGTGAGTATGTATGCCATTGACAAATGGAATAATGTGTTAGCCAAGTGACTGAAGCAATGAGCTTTTATTTTGAGGTGAAAATACAAACTAGACATTTTTACTTTTATACTAAATAGATTCAGAATAGCCAGGAACACTTTCTATTAGTATAGGTCTTTACATTTCAACCTTTCCTAATTTATTTATTTATTTATTTCACTTAACCAGGTGAAATATTAATGCAACCATTGTATAACCAAGATTACTGTTACCTGTGCTTTCTGGTTGTGCCCCTAGAACACAGATAATTCACTTTTATTTGAGAGCAAGAGAATTCTTCATCTGGATGTGACACCTGCCTTTATCTTGTCACTGAAATGGTGCCACACAGGACCAAAGTTAATCTGTTCTATGTTTTATGCCCTGGTGCCTCATTTATGCTTTTTGAATGTGGACTCTATTGGACATCTTCCCAAAGAGCTCAGATTCATTACAATTGAAGACTTGCTCCAGAGGGTTCCTTTTCTCCTTAGTCAGCTTCTTACACTCTGCCAGAAATGTGGCAGCAGCTTGTTCATTAGCAGGCTCAGTCTCTGTAGTACGTTTTTATTTGTTTGGCCCAAACCTATCCCTAAATCTCCCTCTGTTGAAGCAAATGGCTTGGTGTTATTTGTTGCAGGGTTTACCTTGCCAATGACTTCAATAGGCTCAGTGTTTTTTGACACAACATAATGCAGTCAATCAGAACACGATTTCTGTTCATGGCTTCTACTCACCATTTTTCAATAGTACATGTTTGCAGTTCATAGTGATACACTGAGTGTGGGGAGCTGGCATGTGTACATTACACATCTTAATTCTTTTTCTGCCCTCTTCCCCTCCACCTCTCTGTCCCCTTCCCTTTTGCAAAAGATCTATCTACCTGCCTCTTTTTATCCACCTTTTATTCTGCTCTTTAACTTATTATGTTTGACTTATTTTACTTAACATTATGGTTTCAAGATGCAATCATTTTTCTACACATGACTCAAATTTATCCTTATTTACAGTATAATAGTACACTACAATATACAAATATCATGTTTTTAATCTACTCTTTTATCTATTCATCTGTTGATGGCTCTATAAGCCAATTATTATAATTGGTCTGCTATGAACATGGGTATGTATGTATCACTCTACTATGATGTCCTTAAGTTGGGAAGGTACCCAGTCTACCTGCAATTTAATGACTTTTCCATGTTAAAAAAAGATTTTTCACATATTATTGGTATAAATTTTGTAGTTTGGGATGTAACAGTAAAACTAGCACTAATTTTTTTCTCCTTCATAATTTCATGTTTAAAAGTTTCATTCTTACTATAGGCCTTAGCAACCTTCACATGTGATATTCTTTCTTTCCTTATTAAGTAAAAACATTTACCTTTTCACTTAAAGTAAAACCATTGCAGCTTCTTATTGGCATATGTGAATTGATAGTATCACTACTTTGTACTCTGGGGGCCATTATTAAGAAAATAATGATTAGATTACCTCAATGCAAGCACTGTGCACTATATTAGTCTACCCCAAACTAGTCACTACTGAACGACTAGTATCTAAGTAGTGTAAACTACATGGATACACTGAACAGAGGGATGAACAGAGGGTGCAGATGAAACAGAGTAGGATAGCAGCTAAGATTTGATCATGCTATTTAGAAAAGTGCACAATTTAAAACCTGTAGTTTATTTCTAGAATTTTCCATGTAACATTTTCAGACTGTAGTTAATCTGGGCAACTGTAAGTGAAACTGTAGATGGTGGCGTGGTGGTGGATACCAACAGAGGCAAAGAATTTGGTTCCGTGTCTAAGCCCTAGCAAGTGTTCTGTCAATGAATAATACTACTGTCGCTGCCATTATTATCATCAGGTAACCATATATTTATGTAAAATCGAATATAACAGAGGCAACTGAAACTGTCAAATTTACTTTTTCTACCTACAGATAGTCTCTATACTGAAATATTTTCAGGATAAAATATGTAGCTGTTCTTCAAATTTTTTTTTCCCAGAAACCGTCTACTGCTTTTAGTAAAATTGAGAGAAAAGTGGTTTTATTTTACAAATTATCATCATCCAAAATAGCAATGCATCACTTTTTTTATTGATGTGGATATACATTTAAGATTTAAATTCTGTATTAATAAGTATGAGATAACTACTTTATTTATCTGTAAGTCAGATTGCTCCTAGGACGGTGAGAGGGCACAATAAGCTTTCTTTCATCAGAGAACTATGACCCACTTCAAGCGGCTCAGGAGCAATTTATAAACGGCATCTGCCGTTTCCAAACAATCATCTGGCATTTGTAACTTTTTTTCCATTTTAAAGAAACCCCTCTTGTCAGCTGTTTTCATATTGTTTATCTGTATTCTTTGAAGAAAGCTGCTTTTAGGGTCAGCAGCTGATACTGGAAGATAATTTGGAAAAAACTGAATCTTAGCTAAGGTTAAGTTCCTTCGTAAACATGCTACCCTAAGCTCCAGGATATCTGCAGGGTAGAGGGCTCAACTGTTTATCAGCAAAACTGCAGGAGGAAGAAGAGTAAAATACTGCCCTCCGATGAGAAGCAAGAACTGTTCTGTTCAGAAAAAGTTAAATTTTAAAATGGGCACTACAGACCTGAGGCCATAAAGCACTGTGCCGTCTGGGTGAAGGCGGATCATGCGGTTTTTGACAGTCACTCCATGCACAAATGACTTCTTATCATTCAGGAAGTAGGTATCGGGCACCCAGAGCTGGTCTGCGACTCTGTTGTCCAAAGTCAAGTTTAAAGGTATTACATTATAGGATAGCCTCTTATCTCTCCAGGCTTGTTGAAAGTACATTGTCAGGGTATAATCCTGTGAATGTGAGAAGAAATATTGTTACTTCGTGCAATAACAGGCTTGTAGGACAGACAAACACTTTAGAATTAATAAGACATATCCCTCTCTGTCTATATATAAAACTATACACAATAAGCATATAGGATTTATGCAGACAGACACATTAATTTATTAAACCCAGGATTATTAAGCACTTATAATGTGCATATATGGACCATGGTAGCCACTATGAATACAGAAATAAAGAAAATATATCCACTTGAAGTTTATTATACATTTCCCAGGAAAAACAATATTAAGAATAAAACCATTAAAAATTTGCGTTTTCAAAGCACAGTGTACAGGATTATTTTAGAATGGATATGCATGCAATTTTAAAATAGTTACATAATCACTTTTATATTTACTAAAAAAATTAACTAGCACATCAAGCCTAAGATTTTATACATCATTCATTCCATAAATATTTAATTTATATTTAGGATGTGATGGGCACTGCTGCAGAGTTGGGATAAATGTGGTAAAGAAGACAGATTCAGTGCTCTAAGAAAGTTTATTAATGTATTGTGGACACATGAACAAAATAGCGTTAAATAATGTTCTATTTTACAAGTGAAGTAAAGTAGAATACAAAGCGCTTCCCTGGAACTGTAAAGAAAATTAACTCCAAAGAGTGGACACAGCACTGAGACCAGATATACAGCCCACACCATTGGCGCTTGGGAGAACACCCTGCAGTAGCCTTGGCTTGTCATGTAAGAATAGAAAAGAGACCGCTTGTAGGGCCTTTGCACAGGTAGAGAGGTACTGGAACAGAAAAGAAAAATTGGCCTCAAGGAATTTACACGTCAGTACAGGAAGCAACTTAAAATAACTTGTTACAAAGTGGCTAGTTTATTACCATAGTTATTGCAAGAGTTTGCTGATGAGAATCTTAATCAGTTTAATCAAGGTGGGTTTGCCAAGGAAGATGATACTTCAGAGACTTAGGCACCTTTCTAAACACTATTACTGTTATAGGCAGCTGAGTTAGAGAGAAATATTATAGGCAGTCAGACAGGGCCAGGCCCTGGAAACAGCCAACATGAAAGATACGTATTTGTCGTGGGCCAGACCTCAAGACAAAGGACTAAACAAATACACCACATACCTCCCTAGGGATGGACATCAGGGATTGATATTCTAAACAGGTAGCAATCACCTTGAAGAGTCCTTGACCCAACCCCTTACAGGAAAAGCCCCTGTTCTGTATTCATGCCCGCTTGCTACGTGACTCACTTCCCCATTTGATCCCAATTTAATCAATTTTACCTGAACAATTCTTATTGGCTGACCACAGTTTTGTCCATTTTTCCCCTACCTTGGACCCGCCTCACATCTTGTTGTTGCTCTATAAAAGTCCCTAGAAAAGACAGTCTGGGGTAACCCACTCGGGCCCCCCTTCTGTCCCTTTCTTGGACAGAAGCTTTCTTTCCCTCAATAAATATATTCTGCTCTTAACCTCCGTTGTTCCTAAAATTCATTCTTTGATTTTAGAGAACACGAACTCCTCCCAGATACTCAGGTTGGGAGTTTTTATTTCCTGTATCACTACCACTGCCAACATGTGGCGAGGACTTTCATCCCAGTGTACTGATCGGCAGGCAGCACTCTTGGATTCTAGAAACTGAGCTGCTCTAAAGGAAGCCGGAGTCTGACAGTCTGAGCTCGATTTCTCCACTCTGTTTGTAGGCTGTGTGTTTGCAAAGAGCTCTTCTGCTTCAGTTTGAGTGAGCACTGAATACAAGCCTTTGAGTACCAGCCTGATCTCACGGGTAAATTACTACGGGAAAAAATACAACTCAAATGAAATTTGTAAACAGCAAGCTTAATATATTATGAATAAAGCATTTACATATTTATTCTAATAGTTTATTCATTACAGGCCTAGGGGTACAATGTAACTCTTTTCACCTTTATTTGAATGACTAAGTACCAAATGTCCATTTGAAAAAGATAATTAAATTTCTATTATTTTAGAAAGCATGCCTTTATTTTTATTTTGCTTGCATTTTTTAATTTTTTGGTACATTTTACATGCATGTAATGATAACATTCATCATAGGGCATTTGTTCCTGTCCATAACATACGGTGATTCTTCTTTTTTTCCCATTCCCCTGGCAACCCTTCACCTCTCTTCCCCTGCTCACTTATCAAAGCTTTGTTTCCATTTTTTCATATATTCTCTTTTTTCTTGTCCTATTTCCCCCCACCCCGTGTTCCTCTTCTTTTGTAGACATTTTGTTCTTATTTCCCTTATACATTTTGGTCCTTGTTTATACTTCTCATATCAGAGAAACAGCACTGCATTTACACAGGTGTCCGATTTATTTCATTTAAGAGTATGTTCTCGGGGTGTTGCCATTTAGCTAGAAATGTCTTACGTTTATCTTTGTTTATGGCAGAGTAGTAACTCATCCTACAAAAAAAGTCACATTTTCTTTGTCCATTCGTTGGTTGATAAGCATTAGGGTTGTTTCCAAGATTCAGCTATTACAAACTGTGCTGCTATAAACATGGGTATCCATAAATCATTGTGGTATGATGCTTTGAATTCTTTTGGGGATTAAGGTGAATAACTGGGTCAAGTGGCATACCTAGTCCTAGAATTTTGAGGACACTCCACACTGATATCCACAATGGTTGCATCAATCTACACTCCCAACAACAGTAGGAAAGGTTCTTTTTCCTCCACAGCCCTGCCAGCATTTGTTACTGATTGCTTTCTTGGCAATGGCCATTCTTTCTGGATTGAGATGGAATCTCAGCATTGTTTTAATTTACATCTCTTGAATGACCAATGATGTTTCACATTTGTTTACATATTTATTTGCCATTTCTACTTCTTTGTCTGAGAAATGTCTATAAACTCCTGATGCTGTTTTTCGATTGGTTCTCAAATTTGGAGGGTCTGATTTTTTTTTTTTTAGTTCTTTATATATTTTAGATATTAGTCCTGTAAGAAACAGTTGGCATTTTTTTCTCCCACTCTGTGATTTGTCTCACAGTTGGTGGTCTCTTTTGCTGTGCAAAATCTTTTAGTAAGATGAGATCCCACTCATTGATTTTTTGTAATATTTCCTGTGAAACTGGCATTTTGTTCATAAAGTCTTCACCTACACCAATGTCTTCAAGAGTTCTACCTATGCTATCTTCCAGCAGATTTACTAATTCTGTTTTAATATTTAGATCTTTGATCCATCTCAATTTTACTTTAGTGTATGGTGAAAGGTATGGGTCTAGTTTATTTTTTTTTTTATTTATTTATTTTTTTTTTGGTTTTTCTCTGGTACCGGGAACCGAACTCACAACCTTGCGCTTGCCAGGCAGGCACTTTGCCGCTGAGCTAAATCCCCAGCCCTAGTTTAAATCTTTGATACTTGGAAAGCCAGTTCTTGCAGCACTATTCATTAAAGAGAGTATCTTTCCTCTGGTGAAAGTAATTGGCAACTTTATCAAAGATAAGTTGGCTGAGTATGTCTGGAGTTGTTTATGCATCTTTTATTTTGTTCCATTGATCCTCGGGTCTGCTTCATTGTTAATATCCCATGGAAGTCTGGATTGTGATGCCTCTAGCCTTGTCTTTTTCATCCAGCATTGCTTTTGTTATTCTAGATCTGTTCTGATTCCAAATGAATTTTATGATTTTTTTCCAATTCTATGAGGCATGCTATTGGTATTTTGATTGGGACTGCATTAAATCTGTATAACAATTGTGGAAGTATGGCCGTTCTCACTACTGTATATTGTTTCTTCATATCCAAGGGATATTTTTCATTTTCTAATATCCTCTTCAATCTCCTTTTTCAAAATTCCGTCATTTTCAAAGTAAAGGTCTTTTACTTCCTTCATTAGACTGATTCTTAAGTATTTCTTTTTTTGGATGTTACCGTGAAAGGTGTGGTTTCCTTAATTTCTCTTTCAATGAGCTTGTTATTTGTGTACAGAAATGCTATTGTTTTTGGAGTGTTGACTTTATATCCAGCTGACTACTGAATTTGGTTATTAAATCTAGAAGTCTTTTGGTGGAGTATTTGGGATCTACCATGTAGAGTATCATGTCATCTGCAAATAATGATAATTTAACTTCTTCCTTTCCTATCCTTAATCCTTTTACTTCTCTTGTCTAACTGCTCTTGCTAATGTTTCCAGAACAATATTCAATATGAGTGGTGACAGTGGACATCCTTGTTTTGTTCCTGATTTAAGAGTGAGAGCTTTCAGATTTTGTCCATTAGTATGATGTTGGTTATTGGTTTGTCATGGATGGCCTTTATCAGATTGAGATAAAGACCATCTATTCCAATTTTCTGTAGGGTTCTTATCATGAATGGGTATTGGACTTTGTCAAATGCTTTTTATGCATCTATTGAGATGATCATATCACTTTTGTTCTTGGCTCTGTTAATATGGTATATTGTATTTATTGATTTACATATGTTGAACTATCCCTGCATCCCTGGGATGAATCCCACTTAGTCATGGTGTATAATCTTCTTGATGATTTGCTGTATTCTGTTTGCCAGAATCTTATTGAGGATTTTTGTACCTATGCTCTTTAGGGAAATTGGCTTGTAGTTCTCTTTTGTTTGGATTCTTCTCTGGTTTTGGTATCAGTGTAACACTGGCTTCCAGGAATGAATTTGGGAGTATTTCTTCATTTCAATTTCATTAAAAAGTTTGGGAAGTAGCTGCATGGGTCTTCTCTAAATTTCTTGTAGAATTAAGCAAGGAATTTGTCCAGGACGGGGCTTTTCTTTGTTGGTAGCTTTGTAATTACACCTTCAATTTCATTGACTGATATTGGTTTATTTAGAATTTTGTATTTCTTGGTTCAGGTTTGGTAACTCATATGTGTCTAGGAATCTGCCCATTTCTTCTGCATTTTCCATCTTATTAGAATACATTTCTCAAAATAGGCATTGATAATCTTTGGATTTCTGCAGAATCCATTGTAATTTTTACCCCTTTCATT